GAAAATGCTCACCAGATGGAATGAGTTTCCAAGGTGGATTTAGAGACAAACCCAGTAGGTCCACAAAGATAACATTATTGGTAATGAAGGATGCACTTTTGAGGAAGTTTATGGAGGTGTGAAATGATGAGAGGAAAGGTAATACGGTAATTACCGTATTACATGGATACCAGTATCTTCTACATATTATGATCATCTAGTGGTTCTGGAACGTCAAGCTCTCAGATTAGCTTTCCTACTTTTCCGTTTCTCCAGAGAACTGTATTACCGTATTACATGGATACCAGTATCTTCTACATATTATGATCATCTAGTGGTTCTGGAACGTCAAGCTCTCAGATTAGCTTTCCTACTTTTCCGTTTTTCCAGTGAACTGTAATCTTTTACTGAACATCACTAAAATTACAGTCACAAGCCGTAGGAAATTGAAGCTTTGTCATGATCATTAACTCTTTAACGCTCATCTTAATTATTTTCTCTTTCAGTTTTCACACTCTGTCAAATATCTTTCTTTACCTTTGATAAGAAGCTCACCTGAAAAGTTAACCCCGCAGTCACCTGCTCCAAAGTCGTCATGAGAACCAATGAGGTTGAGACCTACCCACCCTTTTATTCTACACTTATAAAACTTATGTCCGTCCAGGTATTACTTATGATCATATTACATGGATACCATTATCTTCTACATATTATGATCATCTAGTGGTTCTGGATCGTCAAGCTCTCAGATTAGCTTTCCTACTTTTCCGTTTCTCCAGAGAACTGTAACCAGATTTTACACAACTGGAGAAAAGGATCAACAACCTGCTGAACTTCCTGGTGAGAGTGATCTTGCTAGACAAATAGCAAGTAGGACTGTGTCATCTGGATACCAAAATAGATGGCCACGATAATCAGGTTGTGGTATATCTGCAACAAAGAATACCTAAAGTAAACGTGATAAAATAAAACCTTATGGAACACCTGAAGAAAAGTGGATGGGTCGAAATGAAGGGTTTTCCAGCGAAATGAAAATCTGAAGATTTAGAAGAAAAGAAGTTATAAGTCGAACTTAAGTTAATAGGTAGTTTCATGAGTCGATGTTTATAGATCAATCCACAGTACTTAATGTTTTCTAAAAGTCAAAAAACAGGATGTAAGATGGGCGACTGGTAACAATATGAGCCAGACTGAGAAGTTGGTCTAGAGATAGTAGTGTCAAACTGGAAGACTTTTATTGAATTATTTTCAATTATTATTATAACAGTGAGATTAATCAAACTCCAAAAGCCTTTCACTTTGTGAGAATTTTTTTCAACTGACGCTTCACAAGAAGATATATTTGGGCAGGTAGCAATAATGAGGAAAGTACAAGTTGGTAGGGCCGCCCTTGTCGCCTCCCTCCACAAATGACGCCCCTGGACTAGCACAGACTTTGCAGCTATTGTCAACGAATGTATCATTTATTAGACCTGACTGTAACATTCAAAACATCACATACTGATAAAAAACGTTAAACATGAAATACTCGCTTAAATATTTGTTTCATTTGCTCCCAGTGCTTTTATTACGATTGGTTGTACAAATTACATCACCAAATTTGTATAAAATAAATCGGCATAATCTAGTGTTGTTTGATAAAAAAAAGGAAGAAATCCATCTCTTGACTATATCAAGCACGTGTTTTTTGTTTGCTTTATTGTCAAATTAATCATTACAAATACTTAAAACACAAACACTGCTTTCATTATGTAATGAAAATAAATTTATATAGCATGCACTTGAACATTAAATTAGGTGTTGACTGAAGTTCTTTGGTTTAAGGTTTCGGCTTGTAACTAAAACATTGCTTTCTTTGTAAAATGCAGTCTAACACTTGACCCTCAGGGCCTAAACTATAATTTTATCAACCTTAAAGAACACAGAGAATTGCAAGATCACTCAAATAATTTGACTCCCTTTTTAACTTATAACATATGTACTGAGTGGTATCAAAATAAATTGCGTCTGTCAAACAAGAACCATATTAGACCAGTTGGCGTTGTATACATAGAAGTAAAACGTACTACTAGAGTCGGTCGTAGATTAAAACATAAAATGGAGTTTTGTAAACGGTCTTGTGTGATCCTGAGAGGTTGAAGTGAGCTTCTATAAAACATACTTGTTGAACATTGTTTATTTTATTTTCGTCCAGTTGTAATTATCAGCGTGAAAAACCAAGCACATTAGCTCTCACAGAGCATCAATGTCATCATCAGCTGAAAACTGCGTAGTCATGTCTACTTTTGGTGTTAGAAGCCAAATTGGTGTATAAGAAATGATTAAGAACCATTTATTTGCTTGCTTTAGAATTTTCACGCAAAGCTAACAAGGGAAGAAAACTAGTCAAAAGCACCCGCCGCCAACTCTTGGGCTATTATTGTTTGACTGAAGAGTGCAGTTTCAATATCACTTTTACAGCGCACTAACGACACCGTAGTGCGGAACGTATTTTTTGCAGCAACGGAATACGATCCCCGAACCCTCAGATTCACAGTCCAGGAACGTTAACTACTAGGTTAAGCCACGAACCGTTTAAATGAGACTCACTAAACTACTCCTGGACAATAACATATTGATGGCACTTAATAAGAACGATGTTCCAGGTACCGTACTGCTCTTGCCACGACTACTTCTAATAACCAGGTACCGTACTGCTCTTGCCACGACTACTCCTAATAACCGGTACCGTATTGCTCTTGCCACTACTACTTCTAATAACCAGGTACCGTACTACTCTTGCTACTACTACTTCTAATCATTTGTGCTCAGTCTGATAGCTTACTGACCGGTTCCCCAGTTTTTGTTATATGAAGCTTCTGTAAAGGTCGGAGAGGTAAATCTTAAGAACAAACAGCTTGACAAATTTTCCACAGTTTTAAAGTAGACCAAAGCCTCAAAAATACATTGGAAGTGGATCGTCAAACTTGATAGTGCGTGTTCGAGTGGGATTGCCGTGATTCCAGTTTCTTTGGCTACCTTTCACTTGAAAACTGACGGTGATTTTTCTAGGTGTGGCGGGAAATTTGTGAACTTTTGACTTGACAGTCTTCGACTTCCAATCTTTGTTTTTTTTTCATCTTGTCAATACTTCGTTGAAATTTTAGATCAGATCAGAGGGCTCCCTTTTTCGTAAACCCAGTTTTTCGCTTTGTAGGTGAGTGCGTGGCTCCGGATTGGATTGTGGTATGATTTCGGAAACTGGTTTGGTTTGGTTTAAATTTCGTGCAAAGGTACACGAAGACTATCTGCGCTACTCCTCCCTAATTTAGCAGTGATAGACTAGAAGGAAGGCAGCTAGTCAACACCACCCACTGCCAACTCTTGTGCTTCTCTTTTACCGACGAATAGTGGGAATTACCGTAACATTATAACGCCTCCACGGCTGAATGTGCGAGCATGTTCGGTGACGGGAATACAAACCTTAGATTGCGAATCAAGCTCTTTAACCACCAGGCCAGGCCGGGCCCCTTCGGAAACTGATAGTGTCCTAAACACGTGTCCTTCGGCTATGACGTGTAACAATCTTGTTATAGTAACGCCTTTCCTCGAAAAGGGCTATAACATGTATATTCGACAGCCACGAATCTCTTACTGGCGTATTGCACTATCCAATGATCGGGAGTTCGCGAACAACTAAATGTGTAGACGCTAAACGTGTCGTCCGTCGCACTGATGTTTCATCTGCGACGACAAACCACTGAATTGGCATTTTTATATCGTTATTATAATGTCGATTAGCTTTTGAAATATTCGCAAAATATAATGTTATCAAAATAAATTAAAGAAACGAAGGCTATCAAAGTTAAAAACTGATATACACAGAGTAATTTACAGAGCTAATGGGTTCTAATAATTCGATTTTATTGATTATATCCTAATACATATAATGATGTACAATGTTTTTGTCCTTTAACGTAGCCCCCCCCCCCCCCCCAGTGGCACAGCAGTATGTTTGCGGACTTACAACGCTAGAAACCGAGTTTCCATACCCGTGTTGGGCAGAGCACAGATAACCCATTGTATAGCTTTGTGCTTATTTTCAAACAAACCTTTAACGTACGTCACATTATGGCAAAAAATTATTCACTTTGAAAATACTCCCAGTCATTTCGTCTCTTTTAAATCAAAACAAGTTAAGGTACCCGTCCTTTCTCCGGGTTATGAACTTTAAAAATGTGGAATTGGTGAATGCTATGATAAATAACAAAAAAATTCTAACTTTCACACAATTTATTTATAACATAACATATTATTACAGTATCCATTATTACCTCACCAAAAGTTTTCTATAAGTTTTAAGAACTAAATATGTATATACTTAAAACATGGTAAACACTGTTCGATGATCAGGATGACTTTGTAGGAAGAGGTAGCGGAAAAAGTAATGGCGTTAGGGATGCGTTTTGTTACCCGCTTTTAGCACCTAACTCTTAATGTCCCTCCACAGTGTTTCACGTGATTGATTAGTCGACGGTCATTGGCCAAAGAAGTATCTTACGGATCGAAGTTGAAAGGTCACGGATCAAAGTAGGAAGCGGGTACATCTCAAAAACAGTTCTTCATATCAGACTTATGGTGGCTGTTATATATATATAAATCCGACACTCGTTTGCTTTGTTTGTTTGTTTTACATTAAAAGTTCTCAGGCTTTCTAAAAAAAAAGTATATTTTCACAGTGTTTACATTGCTGTTTATGTAGATGTCCGCAACAATATTCATGTAATAAACACTTCGTTTAGAGATTAACTTTCATATGTAAACACAAATAGCAGTCAATGTCATTACCTCTTATACAAAGTTGGTAATAATGATAATATAGAAAAAAACATAAAGAAATAAGATATCTCTAAACAGAAATGATTATTACCAAACACAGAAATTACTCTACACTTCAAAGGAATAATGATCTAACTGTTTATAACTTGGATCAAGAGATTCAGTGTTAGCTTCCACAAGTTGGAAGTAAAAACAAATTTGACATCGGAATCTCAGTGATAAAACACCCAGCGTTTGAAGAAATGGATAGTAGTACTTAGTGGGAAACGTAGATGGTGGCGTGGGACAGCCTACTCAAATATTAAACGCAGTGCCTACCGTAAGACTCACAAGGGAAAGTCAATTTTAAGAATGGAAAAGAAAACGTTTTTGACGTGTCTCTCGGTTTTTCTACTTTGCATTCCATGGTAAATATGTGACTACAAATACTTATAATATTGTAAACCTCCAAATTAAAGAATAACTGATTCTTTTTTACTAATATGGATTATTTTACGCTAGACTTATTCTAGTAAATTACAGACCGCTAAGCTTTGGTCGACAGGATACTTTCATCTTTTATAAATCCGTTATTCTTAACCTGTGATCCGCAGCCCTGTACGGGTCAGAATAGGTAAAGATTGAGTTTCCATATTTTATATTTAAAAATCAAAACGACACTATGTTTAATTAAATGAAAACACTGTTTTATTTGAAAATTGCGTTAACTTGTCAGTGTCGTTTTTTTACGCTACAGGATCAGCTTCCGCAGATAAGACGTATCTGATTATGGGATCCTCGACATTATGTTTGGCTCATAAAGTGGTCCACGAGTAAAACGAAAAAGGTTATGAACCACTGTTTTGCACTTATGATTTTTTATGATATTAGATAGTGTCTTCGAAGCTACTAAACCAGTTTTTATTTTTTTACAATAACTTACATAGTGCTTGGCACAGGTTTACAGAATGTTTTCATCTTCTATAGAATTAAAAACTACACCAATGTTTTTATTACGATATTAATCTCTAGTAACCATATTTGTAGTGAATTACAGAATGCTAGGTTTTCAGAATGTTTTCATCTTCCAGACTCTGTAGAATCTACGTCATTGTTTTTATCATGATACTAATTATTTGTCTCTTGGTATCTATTCTTGTAGTATATTAGAGAATGTTATACCCGAATCTGCTGAATGTTTGAATATTCAATAGAATTAAAACACACACACACTAAAGTTTGTATCACGATACTGAGTGCTTAGCTTATATCTCCACTGAGAGTCTTCGCTCGTGTTAGATCAACATCTACGTTAAATCACTTCATAAAGATTAATATAAACATCAGTATTAAACATTTCAACCATTTCTCCAAATTCTAGCACTTTCTTTTCCAGTGTCTTAAGTGATCTATCCAATAGTCTCTGATCTTGATGTTCAGATGTGGACTTTTCAAGATAGAAGCTGTATTTTAAAAAGTTGTTTTCATCTTACTTTCCTCCACAAATACTTGATACATACATATATGACTGGAGACCTTATAGAAAATGTAGTTTCGTTTCTTCAATATAAGCCCCCAGTGGCACAGCGGTATGTCTGCAGACTTACAACGCTAGAAACCGGGTTTCGATACCCGTGGTGGGCAGAACACAGATAGCCCTTGTGTAGCTTTGTGCATAATTAAAAAACAAACAAACAAACATCTTCAATATAAATACCGAAACACTTAAAGAATTGTTTCAAAAAAAATGCTTCGAAATGTCCAATGGTAGTAACCGGATTGGACCGTTGTACCAATGGTAGTAACCGGATTTCGCCGCTATACCAATGGTAGTAACCGGATTGGCCGCAGTACCTTGTCTCAATTCTCATCGTACAAAACTTATTATTGTAACTTGTACTTGCGACAGTCGTTTATTTTATTTCACTGGTTTTATTATACCTTTCAAATATTACTTCTGGAACTGTTCTTCCTTCCGGACATGTGATCTAGACGAAGTAGTTTGTTCCTCGTCACATAAAACAAACATATATCACCGTGTAAGTGAAAGTGTTTCAGTAACTCATATATATATATATATATATGTATAACCATGAAAGTGAAAGTGCTTCAGTAACTCATATATATATATATATATATATATATATGTAGTGTGTGTGTGTGTGTGTATAACCATGAAAGTGAAAGTGCTTCAGTAACTCATATATATACACACACATATATAACCTTAAAAGTGAAAGTGCTTCAGTAACTCACACACACACACACACATATATAACCTTAAAAGTGAAAGTGCTTCAGT